GGGCTTCCTGGAATCAGCCGCTGATCAGTTTCAGCAGCAGCTGACTTGGGGAAGCCTGGGGTTCTTAAGTTGAATCTGTATGTAAGTCGGAACTGGCGTCCAGATTCAGCCTGTTGAAACTGATCAGAGGCTGATTCCGGGAAGCCCGGGGCAGAGCAACTCTGTGTCGGGCTTCCTGTAGTCAACCGCTGGTCAGTTTCAGCAGCGGCTGAATCTGGACGCCAGTTCCGACTTACATACAGATTCAACTTAAGAACAAACCTTCAGTCCCTATCTTGTACGTATCCCGGGGACTGCCTGTAGTCAGAAAATATGATCACTCAAAGTGTTTTTGTGTGCAAACCTACAGATAACCGCATTAATTGAGTTTTATTTTCATGCACATAACGATGAATGTTGTGTGTAAATATGAAGTGTTTGACATCTGGTAGCTGCAATTTTTTCAAATTGATTACAATATCTAACCAGATATATGACATTTGGTATTCTTTTACTTATTTTAATTTTAGAGACACTGGGTTTTTTCATATATTTAAATATGTTGCCCGGCTCTCTAAAATAACCACCTGCTCTCCAAGATAAGCATTTGATGGGAAAATGGTAACAGGGAATATCAAAGCAAAAGAAAAGTAGTGCTGAGTTCTGAGCCCAAATTCTTTCATGATGACACACAGATATGTAGCATGTATTCTTGGCAGTACCAGAACAACATGACAGCTGATAAGCTTAAACCTGGTTTATTTGTTTTTAATGGGTTTCTGTACAGTTTTCATGGTAAGAAAAGAGGAAGTACATGAATGCAGCAGACACGGATACACTTGATAGGAAAACTAATCTCCCAGAATGTATTATTCGTAGTTACCTCAAAGTCAATCTCTAAAACTTTCCTGAACCTTTGTCTTTTTGTATTTCTAAATGTAATTACAAGTTAAATTGTATATCTAGACCATATTTTTAATGTTATACCCACATATGTATATGTATAGTTCATACGTATAGAACTTTAGTTACACATTAAGTGGTTTGGAGGCTGTTTTTTCTTAATAAATTTGGATGACTCTAGTTTGTCCTGTCTGTATCTCGTGCAAACATAAAATGTGATTATATCTTAATGTTTAAACTAGGTCCCTACCAAATTTACAATCCATTTTGGTTAATTCATGATAGCTGAAATAATGAAATTAATTATTTTTAAATTATTTAAATTGCTGAAATTTCATGGAGTTATAATTATAGGGTCCTAATCCAAAAAGGAGTTGAGGTGTCTCTTCCGTGCTGCTGTTAATGGTGGTGGTGGGTACTGCCTTGTGAACTGGGTAGCTGGAAAGCAATAGCTACTGACCGGAATTCCAGCTCTGAAAACACACAAAGACCAGATTTCATGGAAAGAGGCCAGATTTCACACTCTGCAATGCATTTGTCATGGCAGTGAGTTTTGGTAGGTCCCTAAATATATATCACTAGGATGTTACAAATACCTTTTGGGAGAAATTTGCAGGAAATGATAGTTGTCACATTCTGGTATTGGTGAAGAAGCCAACCAGTGGTTGTGTAGTGGGAGGAAGCATCTGGGAGACTAGTGCTGATTTTGGGAAGATGGAGGAAACTGGCAAGCAGACGGAGTTGGCTAACAAATTAAGCAGAGCGTGGCACATTCATGTAAATACGTAACATTTTTCTGTGAGCCATATTTCAGTTTACTTTTTTTGTCCTCTTGCTGCAAACATGCTATGATTAATGCCATGTCTGAATATTTGATGATTTGATTGTAGAAGTTGGAGACCTGAAGGAGCTGCAGACCTTGGACATTTCGACCAACCGTTTGATAGCTTTACCTGAAAGACTGCATATGTGCCTTTCTCTGCAGTACCTGAGTGTTGATGGGAATTATCTGTGGTGTGTCCCCCGCCACCTCTGCCAACTCCCTAGCCTCAACGAACTGTCCATGGCTGGAAACTGTCTTGCATTTCTGCCACTTGGTGAGTGACTGCCTTCCTTAGACCTCAGCGAACAAATAGAAAAGAAAACAAGCATTGTGAAAGCTTTCATTCTAATAAATGTTTTTTTTTTATATACAATCTCTAAATTTGGGGAGGTAATACAGTGATATCAATTGTATATGGAGATATATCATTTCTTAAAAGTGGTAGGGAACTTGAGAGGTCATTGAGTGCAGTCTCCTGCCCCCACAGTGGGACCAAGTACCATCCCTGACAGATTTTTCACCAGATCCCTAAATGGTCCCCTCAAGGATTGAACTGACAACCCTTGATTTAGCAGGCCAATGCTCAAACCACTGAGCTATCCCTCCTTTCAACTCTTGGGAAACTTGTTAGTAAATAAAAAACAAATTCATTCTTAAGACTGGTTTCATGCTGGTTCAAAAGGTTAGGTCAGAGAATTCCAGTTTGCTATATTTTAGCTGACTTACAAATCAGAATACTTTATAGGCTAAACTAAATGCAGTGTGGTGTGATCTGAATTCCATTGCTTTTGTAATGATTATCTTTAATAGCTAGATCTGAAAAATACCAATGAATCCTCATTTAGAGGTTTAAAATTTCCATGAAAATCCAGTAACTGTGAGAGCTTTATAGCACTAGAAATGTCAACATTGCATATTTACATGTCAAGAAAATGTCAGAATTACATATCTACATATCATAAATTGTACTGGGTCCCCAGTGTAGCATCTATTTTGATGTTCTACGTAGGGATGTACCAGGATACCCATGGGAGCCATGGAAGCGAAACTAGAGGTGTGTGGCCTCCTGTTATGGGAAGTGGTCTATGTATTTATGCATACATGCTGCCTGACAGTAGTCTCTGTGGACAGTCTCATTCTCCCCGTGTAGATTATTTTTACTCTTAATGGGCTCTGTACAGGCCCATCTCTTCTCGAATGCGGGCATATGTTTATGCAGCTTTCTTATGTGCTTCAAGTATGTCTCTGGAAACAAGAAAAAGGCAGTCAGATTTAGTTCCTCTGCATGTAAATACTGTTATGTTAACCCACAGTAAAAAAAACCAACAGCAACAAAAAATTAAGATTGGTAAAAGTGATGTTTGTTTCTCAGTGAATTACATGATACAGATTTAGCTGACAGTACTGTACATGGCACTAACTATGTAAAAAGTATGGATTTTGAAAACAGTATGTATTCTTGGGAGCTCTTTTCAGCATTACAGCTAGATAATCATAGAATACTCAACTGGAAGGAATCTCGAGAGATCATCAAGTCCAGTACCCTGCCCTCATGGCTAGGGATGTAAAATTTTGATTAATTGGCTAATCGAATTGTCGATGCAATTGGCTGCGGGGAGCACAGAGCCTTCGGGGACTCAAGCAGTCCCCTGCTAGCCCCATGCTCCCTGACGTGTTTCAAAGCAGCAGCATTGCATGGATCCGGGGGGGCTGTGGAGGAGTCCCCAGCTGACCCTGGGCTCCACATGACGCTGCCACTTTGAAACGCCACATGCAGCCCTGGCCATCTGGGGACTCCGCAGCCAGTGTAGACAGGTGGCAAAATCTTGCCAGTCTAGACGCAGCCCTAGCCTGTTGACTATCTGATAAGCATTTGCATTACTCGTAACAGGACCAAGCATTGTCTTGACTCTAGATCATCCCTGAGAGATGTCTGTCTAACCTGCTCTTAAATATCTCCAGTGATGGAGATTCTACAACCTCCCTAGGCAACTTATTCCAGTGTTTAACCATTCTGACAGGAAGTTTTTCCTAATGTCCAACCTAAACCTCCCTTGCTGCAGTTTAAGCCCACCGCTTCTTGTCCTATCCTCAGAGGCCAAGGAGAACAATTTCCCCGCCTCCTCCCTGTGACATCCTTTTAGATACCTGAAAACCCCTATCATGTCCCCTCTCGGTCTTCTCTTTTCCAAACTAAACAAGCCCAATTCTTTCAACCTTGCCTCATAGCTCATGTTTTCTAGACCTTTAATCATTTTTTTGCTCTTCTCTGGACTTTCTCCAATTTCTCCATCATTCTTGGAATGTGGTGACCAGAACTGGATGCAATACTCCAATTGAGGCCTAATCAGCACAGAATAGAGCGGAAGAATGACTTCTTGTGTCTTGCTCACAACACTCGTGCTAATATATCGCAGAATCACGTTTGCTTTTTTTTTTTACAACAGTGTCACACTGTTGATTCATATTTAGCTTGTGGTCCACTGTGACACCTAAATCCCTTTCTGTAGTACTCCTTCCTAGATAGTCACTTCCAATTTTGTATGTGTGAAATGGATTGTTCCTTCCTAAGTGGAGTACTTTGCATTTGTCCTTATTAAATTTCATCCTATTTACCTCAGACCATTTCTGCAGTTTGTCCAGATCATTTTGAATTATAACCCTATCCTCCACAGCAGTTGCAACCCAGCGTGGTATCATCTGCAAACATAATAAGCGTACTCTCTATGCCATCATCTAAATTGTTGATGAATACTATTGTTAAGTATTATATTCAGGGACACCACCTCCTGAAACAGAGATGTCATAAAAATACCCTTTTAACCACATGGCATTGTAAGTCAAGGAAAATGAATCCCATAATATCTTGGTCAAATCCCGCCATGCTAATTAACAAAATAGTTCTTTTACCAATCAAATATTCCTCCTTCTATAGGAACCTCTTCAGAAAAGACAGAGGTGGGATTTTTTTTTAAGCTTTGGTGAAACCAAATGCTTTTTAAGTTGAAATGTGAAGCTCTGGGCTCAAATTTTGTACCTTTTTAAATTCATGTTTTTCTTATTTGCTTATTACCTTACCTGTGAGAAAGCAATACAAGTTGGACCTCCCTGGTCCGGCACCCTTGGGACCTGAGTGGTCCTGAACCATTAAGTTTGCCAGATCAGAGGAGGTCAAGGCTACCTTCCTGGCTGTTGACTTCGCTCCTGTATACCAGCCCCAGCCACTGGGCTCCTGGACTGGGACTGCACTCCATACTGCACCGGCCCTGGCCAAGGCTGCACTTCCTGGATCATTGGCGCAGGCTGCATTCCCAGGAGTCAGTCTGGGGAGCTCTCCTGGACACTGGTCCTGCTGCCTCCAGCCCAGCCAGAACTGCAGCCCCCACTGCGCTGGCTCCAGCTGGGGCTGTGTTCCCCACAACTCTGGCCCCACTGTGCTCTTCACCACCAGCCTAGCTCCTGAACTTGGCCAGCTGGGGTACTCTGGTCTAGCAATATCTGTGGTTTGCTGGACCATGGCTGTTAACCAGATCAGAGAGTCCCAGATTTTAGACATTCAACCTGTACCTTGAAATGTTTGTGTCTTTAGTTCAAAAGAATGTAATAAACCCCCTAGAAAATGACACACCTCACTTTTGCTTTATTTTTAGATTAAAATTCAAAACATAGTCTGTTTTAAAAGGAACCTTTAAATTAATGGGAAACATCAAAGACTGTCAGTTGACCTTGCTCAGTAATTCTTAATAATAGGAACTCACTGTTGAACATTTGGAGATAATTTGCTATCTGTGCATGTGGAATGGAATAATAAATCCCAGAGTTAAAAAGCAGAACAGAATAAATGGAAATGTTTAATTCGCTCCTAAAGGATCAGATTTCCCAGTGGTGAAGATGTGGTGAAATACAATGGAAAAGAGGATTGCATCAGTGAAAACAAAAAAAAATTAAATATTACTTCTGCCATTTTAGGAAAGACTTCCATTACCGTGATAATGTATTACATGCTTGTAGTATATAAGTTTACAGATACAAGTTTGGCTCTTTTTTTTAAGGTGTCGTATCTGATGGCTGTGTTCTATGTGCACCATTGAAGGACACTTCAGTTGCACATTTTATGATATTGAACATGTTGCTTATCTAAAGGTGGAATGACTGGGAATGATTAATACATTTTAAAAATAAGGTCTTCAACTTAACGTTTGTATGGAAATCTGGATGGTGACTCTTTTGATCTGCATGGGCATTTTGTAGTGCTGAATACCCAGGCACCTTGGAGTCTGACTCAGCAGAACATGTTTGCACAACTTGAAATGATGAATAAAGGTCTGTCTGTAATTCTCTTTCCTTAAACCCTTTACATTTGTATTTAAGGTAGCCAGTGTTGGTTAACTCGAGGACATGTTGGAGTAAATACTTTTAAAAATTGCATATAACATAAAATCTGCATCTGTTAAATCATTTGAAAATTGGATAATAATTAATGGATGTTACTAAACATCCTTTGATATAAATCTTTAGAAAATACCTCATTTTAAGGTTTAATGTATTAAAACTGAGTATAAGCTGTTTTCTCCAACATCTTTGAACCATCTGCCTTTTGTTTTGGTTGAGACACCACACAACAGGCAGCATGTAAAAAAAAAAAGCATGGTGATAATCTCAGCATTTGGAGTTATTTGTGACTGGTGATGCTCCATTTACTGCTCACAGCAGCGGTCGGCAACCTTTTCAAACCCAAAGAGCTGAACTACATCAAAATTCACAACACGTGGCCAACAAAGAGCCATATAAGAGTGCCTGTTTGCATGACTGAAAATATACAACTTAATATTACTGATAATTGACATGATTAATAATAGCGTAAATGAAACGTACTCACAGACTTTATTTAATGGGACTTCTGCTGCTGCGTCTTTTTTCACGTTTCTTTGATGTTAACATCATAACTGGCCAAATCCAGCTTCATGCATGTGTTCAGGCTGTCTTCTGTCAGTCTTATGGAAGCGGGCTGTTAATGTGGGGTGTGATAATCTGGGTCGAGGTGTATGAGAGGCTCAGAGCAGGGGGTTCAGGTGTGTGATGGGCTCAGAACACAAGCTTGGGGCATGTGTGGGGTGCAGGGGTATGTCTACACTGCCACCCTAGTTCGAACTAGGGTGGCTAATGTAGGCATTTGAAGATGCAAATGAAGCCCGGGATTTAAATATCCCGGGCTTCATTTGCATCTTGTCAGGCGCCGCCATTTTTAAATCCCCGTTAGTGCGGACTCCGTGC